TGAAGCTGGAAATTACGTTTCGGTTACACGTGTTGGGTTTCTGACACTGTATTAATACTACCGTGCGCACGGACGTTAAGACGTATGTGTACACATTCGTAAGTCCTTAAAATGTTCAAAATTACTGTTTTCTTTAAAATTCCTTTTAAAATGCTCAAAATTACTCTTTAAAAAGAGCATGTTTTAGAATATTATACTTTTCAATCAGAACTGCGCGTGCTTCGTGAGGGTCAAAGTACGGCGGATCACCTAACTCGTCCTCAGTGACGAGTTCAAATCTAGTTAGAGACTTGTGGCAAGTCTAACTTTCACAATGATGCATCTTGCTCTCACCAATGAAGCAGGCTGACCATTCACCACTTTCAAACAACCCTATTAGCTTCCCGTTTCTGACGATTCAAAGTTCTACTCATTACCTTTAAATGTTTACATGATTTAGCTCCGTCGTATCTCTGAGAGCTTATTTCTATTTGTCAGCCCTAGTCGTCGTCTTCGTTCTTCTTCCGAGAAGTCTATACTCGAAGTGCCAAAAAGCAAATCTGGCCAGTTCAATTTTGCACAAGGCTTTCTATGCCGCTGCACCATCCCTTGCAACGAACTCTCGTGAAGTTCGTCAGTTTCCAACTTTGAAACAGTTAAAACTGCTCTCAAAACTCACCTGTGGGACCATCTATGTAAGGGGATATTCAATTTATTATTATTATTATTATTATTATTATTATTATTATTATTATTATTATTATTATTATTATTATTATTATTATTTTCTTTACGATGCGCCGAGGTCAATGCCGTAGGCAGGATTTTCAAACAGTGTGGGACAATATCAGGGTAGACCCAGTTTACGCGTAAATTCAAATAATGTGGACTCTTTTTCTTAAAAGTTTGCCCATTTTACGCAAAAATATGAAAAATCTGGACCCATTTTCTTAAAGGTTTACCCATTTTAAGTTATAAATATGAGAAATATGGACCCTTTTTTTTACAAAGTGGACTCATTTATGCATAAAACTGCATAATTTGGACCCATTTAAAAAAAATTTAGACCCATTCTTTATAGACCCATTAGAAAAATTGTGTGGGACTGTCCCAACTGCCCCAATGGCTGGCTACGGCATTGACCGAGGTACTGTTTTTAATGCAGAATCACTACCAGAAATCTTCCTCATGATGCAGCGAGTTCTCTCTTAAACCTTTTTGATGATGGTGAGGCGCAATTTTGATGATGGGACAGGTTCCCCTGCTGTTAATGCCCGACTGATGATGTGACATCATTCTGTCCAAAACAGAAATCATGCTCATCAACTGGCCTGCTGAGAAAGATGGGATAATATCCTGAATCCATTATTGAAATGAACAATATAAAACTCAGTATGACAATTTATAATGCTAATATAACCCTTCTAATGATATGAGATCTTTCTAATACTACTACGAGTTGCTGATAGATGCAACTTTTCTGACGATGCGATGAGTCATTCATTCATTTGTTCATTCTTTCATAACCCAAACATGAACATTCACATTAACAATGAAATAAGGAAAAAGATCAAGCAAATTGGACAAGCAAAAAAATTCAACAATACAGTATTAACTAGGATAATAGTAATGGATCAACCCAGTCAAAGGCCTATCAACCCAGTTAAAAGTCAAATCCAGATGATGTTCCTGAATTGTTTTGATGATATGACGAATTCTCTATGATGTGGCCCAATCGTATTAATAGTGTGGCGCCCCTGATTATGTTAACACCCAAAAAGGTATCCTTCCCCACCCCGATAATGTAGACTTGCTAATGACAATCTTACTGATGGTGTGACGAGTTCTCGCGGATGATTAAACTTTCCTTCGCTGATGATGTAAACTTCCTGTGATGAATTCTCTCGAAGATGTAGCTTCCAGATATTTTGTGACGCGATCTTCTCGATGACGCGTCGAGAATCGAGACGACGGTATTTTTATCCTTGATAATCCCCGAGTCGCTGAAAAGAAACTTTCTGACTATGCGTTCGAGTTCCCCCGATGATGCAGACTTTCTGATGACGATCTCCAGAATAATGGGATGGGACAAGTTTCGGTTGATGTGGTGTGATCTTTCTGATGATGCGTAGCGACTACCCTGATGATGTAGACTTGATGGTCTTGGAAATGTTCTTGCTTTATCTTGTTTATAATATGTTCAAAACATCAAAACTTAACATTGCCAGATTAAGCCGAATTGCGTCAAACTGATAATGAAATAAGCAGAACTCAAAATACATACATTCACATAACCTGCAGCTCTTGAAGTAGTGTAATTAAACACTGGGATAAAAAATAGGGGGAAATCATTTACGTAATTCTTAAACTTTCGAAAAGTAAAAAAAAAAGAAAGAAAGAAAAGAAAAAAAATGATCGCCCAAAACGCCTTAGAAGTTATTTTCGGGCGTCTAGAACACAAACATTTCGCGGGGCATGCCCCGGACCCCCTAGGCTAGAGTTATCTCAATCGGTCCCACTTATCATTAACTAATTTGTATAAAATAAACTCAAATCACATAAATATATATTTTAAAAACAATGTAAGGATGCTTCTAACGATTGAATGATTGTAATTGAAATGCTTATTATTTTTTATATTGTAATTTATATTTTTATTACATTCTCCGTGTGTTTTGCTGTTCGCTGATTCCCCACATCGGATGGAGACCCTCTTTGACATTAGTTTATTTTACTTTTTGGTTATCCCGCCGGGCCTTGTGGGGAATCAGAGACCAACATTTACTGTATCTTTTTTGTCCTTTTTGACTGTTTTATCCTTTTATATTGTAACTGTTTTCGGTTAAATAAATGAAATAAAATTTCTGGGTCCGCCCCTGTTAAAGGTAGTCAAGACTTCGTTTGCATTCCGATTGCCATCGTAACATTTTCTGTACTGTCATGTATTTTCAAGAATCCTTTGTGGGACATGCTAATTCAAAACGCTATATCGACTACTATAACTTATGCCTAGGCCTAATTCTTAATTCAAATTCCAAGTAATAATTGAAACCACACTAAATGCTTTATATTGAATATATATGTTAAAAAATTATTATAATTAACCGAGTTTTTTTCACAGGGCTTAATGAATGGTTGGTGCCTCCAACTACTGATAGTGTGGTCCCTAGTGTCATTTCACGAGATAGGCCTGCCTAAAGCAATTTTATTGCGTTTTCCGTATATTTTGGGTATGCTGAATCCAAAAATGCAAGGGTCCATTTTTTTCGATAACGTCTTGGCCTGTCTCTTATACACATCTAGATGTGTATAAGAGACAGCAACAATACAGTATTAACTAGGATAATAGTAATGGATCAACCCAGTCAAAGGCCTATCAACCCAGTTAAAAGTCAAATCCAGATGATGTTCCTGAATTGTTTTGATGATATGACGAATTCTCTATGATGTGGCCCAATCGTATTAATAGTGTGGCGCCCCTGATTATGTTAACACCCAAAAAGGTATCCTTCCCCACCCCGATAATGTAGACTTGCTAATGACAATCTTACTGATGGTGTGACGAGTTCTCGCAATACATATACATGTGACTTAAACTTGCCTGTATAGTAAACCCGATAATAAACGCAGGGCATGTATGGGTGATTCCATTTTTCCTTGAGGGGTAAGTTTAAAATATATGAATATATGCATGATACTTAAGCTTATAGAGCACACAATTAGGCGTCCAGGATGAGTTTAACCGCTACCAATGTAGAAACAGCGTCTTTGTTACTGGGTACACACAGGCACCCTGTTAGGCAGTGTGTTCTACCTCAGGATATACCTTATGTGGCTGCACTACTGTGCACTGCAAAGAGAACGGCGCCGATAAAGTATACAAACAAGGAATGAGGGAGTTTAACTGGAAGTGTAGTAAACGAGTATCATTATTGTATAACAGAAGGGAAAAACCAACGGCGGCGGCGAAAATTTAGCAGGGTGGGGCGGTCTGGCTGGGTCCCCTTGAATCCGCCACTGGGTACTTCAGCAGATGGAGGATCTATACCACCTCAGCCCCGCCATGGTTGGGCTGAAGTAAGAAAATTTGTGGTTATGGCACCTCTAGATGGCCGGAAATTATACTCTTAGACTTCAAATTTGAATATAATTTTCTTATATCTCCATTAAAAAAAAAAAGAAGAACAATTTAGCCTCCCCCTCCCCTTGAATGCGCCACAGATTTCCGAACAAAGTCGAAGTCGAGATTGCTTCCACGACCTCAATAAATTATTTATTATGAGGGTTATCTTTGATATGGGTTCCCCGACGGAAACTTCACTTTTCTCCCGATGGATAAAAATTACACTTGTATGTAGCTCAGAAATGAGTCGAAAATAGAAATAGAGGTGTTCCAAGGAGAGTCTTGCGTAAATAAAATGTCCACCCGCCTCAGCCCAACAACTGTTGGAAAATTATGATTATGGCACATCTAGATGGCCGGAAATGGCACTCTTAGATTAAAAGTTGAATACAATTTTGTCTGTTTTCTCCAATTTTTTTTTTTTTTGATAATTTTGAAAAAAAAAATGGAATGGGGTCCAGTGCTGACTGGGTTTCCCATTGAATCTGCCACTGTTTAATATAACACTTGACATAGCCTACATTTTGTTTCACAGAATGATTAATTCCTAATGTCAAGGGAAAGATTTTTTTATTTAAAATATTTTCTTTTTACTTAATACAGTTTTTACAACCTATAACACATTAACTACAGTGTACCGTACTGTAAATTCTGTACCGGTACTTAACCTTCAGACAACTTTATTTTTAAAAAGTGGCCTAATAAGTATCTTATTGTTTTCGTTAAATTAGAGTTTAAATGTGGTTATATAATGCTAGTTTAAAGGTTTACTGCAAGCCAATCAGTTACACTTACTATACATCTTCGTGGTCAGCATAAAGAGAACTAGAACGTCGCTTCATTAAGAGTGCCTACCTCCCCTATATGCCTAAATACAGAATTTACGAATGCAGGCGATTTTTTCTGCATGCTCGAGGGTGGGTTTCAAGGAAACTTTACAGACGCACGTATACAGACGTCAATCACACATTTGGTTGCTCAACTCAAAAAAGAACTTGTAGTGTTCGTTAGAAAATTTAAAAAATAATCCATATTTTATAATAATAATAATAATAATAATAATAATAATAATAATAGGTCAATTTATAAGGCGCAAATAAACAAGGTGTAACCACGAAATAACAATAATAATAATAATAATAATGACATTGCAGCGTTCGTAAAATGTTTGTCACTGGTGCTGGTAACAGTTACAAAAGTGCGGGGGTAGGCCCCCCCCCCAGTAGAAAAAGTGTGTGGGCTAATGGCCCCTCTGGCCCCCCGCTTTCGCCGCCATTGGGAAAAACCAATGAAATGGTGATACAGTAGTTATGGAAGATTATTCTCATTGTTTACTTCTATTCGCCGTCTTCCGTATCATCCCGTATCAACTACTGTATCACCATTTCATTGGTTTTTCCCTTCTGTTATACAATAATGATACTCGTTTACTACACTTCCAGTTAAACTCCCTCATTCCTTTTTTGTATACTTTAATTGGCGCCGTTTTCCTTGCAGTGCACAGCAGCCGCATAAGGTTGGAGTTTAGATGCTTGGTGGTTAAGATGCTTGATTTCCAATCCCAGAGTCCTGGGTTCAATTCCTGTCAGTTTTGCAGGATTTTTTCCCACGACCAAAAACTCCACTCCCTAAATCTCCAATCCCTATATCCTGAGGTGGAACATACTGCCTAACAGGGTGCATGTGTGTACCCAGATGTAACAAAGACGCTGTTTCTACATTGGTGGTGGTTAAACTCATCCTGGATGCCTAATTGTGTGCTCTATAAGCTTTAAGTATCATGCATATATTTATATATTTTAAACCCCTCAAGGATAAATGGAATCGCCCATACATGACCTGCGTGTATTATCGGGTATATCGTGCAGGTAAGTTTAAGTCACATGTATATGTATTTGTGTATATTTTATAGTTCATTTGTTGATAGACAGCCTTTCTGTAAGGTTTGTGATTTCTTCCTGAATTTATTTATATTTATTTATTTTAAATATACCCCTTGAGCACAAAATGGATTCGCCCATAAACGCCCTGTGTGTAACTGGCTATGTACTGTCTCTTATACACATCTTTTGCTAATGATCGAAGTTTGTTAATACCAAGAGATAAATCAAAAATAATGTCAGAATTGAAGGCGCAGATGAAGATTTACAAAGCAGATCAAAACGCCCCAAAATTTCCATTGAAAAAGGTGGCAATAATAGATGCTATGGCTGAGGTGCAAGTACTCAAAATTGAACCAGGCATGCAGGTTTTTGATGACTTGACTAAGACATTTGTCGCCAGGATAAAAAGAAAGATTGGACCTTACCAAGAGGCTAGAGTTGTATTCGATAGATATGATGTTGAAGACTTACTAAAAGGCAAAACAAGATTAAAAAGAACATCACAAACCCCTATTGAATACGACATTCATAAAGACATGGCAATAAACCACACATCTATGAAAAGTATTCTATCTTCCTTTAAAAACAAATCATCTCTGACACATATTTTTGGAGAAGCATTGCTCAGCAAATACAGTGGCAGTCAAAAGAAGGTTGTCGTGGTAAAAAGAACTGAAGCGAAGGTTAACAAGGACTTCCAATTGTCCGACAATGTTAAAGAATGCCTAACCATGGCCCTATGGCCTAACTAGTCGACGCGAGTGACTCAGTTTCGTGGCTCCAAAAATATGAACATTTGATTGGTTGAAATTGTTTATTTCGGTCCGCCCATTTATCCAAATACGGAATCTAAGATTACGTCATTCTTTTGGCATCCTGGTGCCTGATTTCAGTGTTTTACAAGTCGCTTATTCCATCTATAAATTAACTTTCTCGTTGGTGGCGCTGTCCAGAATGAGAAAAATAATAAAAAATAAGAGACTTGTGGCAAGTTTAGGTTGAGGCATGCACGGTAATTTATATTTTTGTAAACACCATAATTGAAATAACTGTTTTCCATGAAGATTTTGTTGAAAAACGGTCGGCCATCTTGAAATTCAAAATGGCCGCCATCTATGGTCTATGACAATATTAAAATCAAATAGTTTGACATTGAAAACATAGGGTTAACACTTGAAATTAAGTCAATATCTGCTTTAATAGTAGAGTTATGGTCATTTTTATGGTTAAAATGGCAGCCATTTTGAAATTCCAATATGGCGGCCAAGACGATATTGAAAAAAATGGACCCTTGCATTTTTGGATTCAGCATACCCAAAATATCCAGAAAATGCAATAAAATTGCTTTAGGCAAGCCTATCTCGCAAACCTGTTTCTTTTTTTGGACACTAGGTTTCTCACTATGATCAGTTCGCTGCCATATATAAATGTCTTACATGCCAACGGCTAAACGATATAGTAATTGTTACACAGAAATCGAGCACAATTATTATATCCTCAGACCCTTTATATGTTGTAAAAAATTAATTTCCAGTTCGGATTTGAATTCTAATCGAATTGAGAAAATTGCACCTGCTATCATCCGTAGTCTAATATTTTACGCTGGCGCTCAATCTATAGAGAAGGAAGTACGAGGAAAGATGTTATGTTATTAATTTCCAGCAGGTCAACAGCTTCAAGAGCAGGCTAAATGTCTTTTCGTCGTCAACAACTTCATCACTAGATCACCTGTAGATCGTAGTCAATCTTTCTATAGTTATCATGTTTATAACAGTTCGTTACGGACTGGACCAGTCTCTGTTGTTTAACCCGTCATGTACCGTTGTCAATCTGCTCCGCAGCATTCGTATTCGATGTGGATACGGGAATTCTAACATTGACATCGATTTGGCAGACGAGGCAGGTAAATATCAAATGCTGCAGCATATTATGGCTCCTTGCATGCTACCGTTTAGGTATAGACTTAATTATTTAGTCATAACTATTAAGCCTATATAGTCTTCCTGGATTGACATCTTTTAATATCCTGTTTATTTATTGCATTACCCGGCTTCCATTTTTTCCATTTACGTATTATATTTCTTTTATGTATTAGGGCCTATTCACAGCCAAAATCATCCAGTCTGTATACAGTAATACATGAACATGAGACACGCTGAAAACTAAGAATCGCATCGGTATATATAACATACACAAATAGATAAATAATAACAGTGCTCGTATCAAGCATAGCCCTTCAACGAAAGGTTCCTTTTTTTCAGAATGAAAAGTGTCTTTGGTGGGATTCATTCGTACATGCAGCCTCTCGCTACAGCCTGTTTTTTTCACTTGGCGAATTTATTCGCGCGAATGGAAAGCGGCGAATTCACATTTCTATCGGAGTTTTTGCTAGCGAAAAAAATGCGCAACCAATCAGAACTCAGGAAGCGAACTGATGCTTTGATTCGCGCGAATAAATTCGCCTAGTGGAAAACCAGCTTTACATAGTGGAGCTAAGGTTAAGCTAGAAAAGCGTATAGGTCGTACCTTGGAAATTATAGTAAATAATATTCAAATTATTTTCAGTCATCTGGATCTCGAATAATACACTTGTTTATACAGTATCATTTTACGGCTTGTGAGACTCTAAATACCTAATTACTCTTAACGTGTCTGACGTCACATAAATTCCCCCTCCCCTTTTTTAGAGAAAACTTCATCTATTGGATTTTGATTAATTTGTTTTCTCTGTCTTTTGCATTTTTATGTCGTCATATATTCGACTTACTAGTAATGGCTACCTTTTAATTTCAGTCATGAAATACTTACTGGTAATAGGCTATATAACAATGATTTAAAAATGTTATTTCGAGAATCAAGTCTATAGAACACAACAAAATATTAAAAATAAATAATTTATACAAAATATAAACAATACGAATCTGAACATTAATACATTTGATATAGGCCTATTTACAATAAGAATGATATAATGTATGTATATGTTTTATACATGGATATTCAATTTTTTACGACATAGGCCTATCCACTATAATATAGGCCTAGCATAATAATAACCGTAAACTATTAATATTTAATATATATACATATATATATATATTATATATAATATTTAATAATATATTTTTAAGAAAGTGTGCGTCTGCTTTTTCCATCTTCTTGACATAAACTTTCGTTTTTCCTAAATTTAAAATCTAATACGGTAACAATTAGGCCTATATAATATAAATAATAACACCAACAATAATAATAAAAAAAATAATGATATTATGTTTAATGTCTCTCAGGTGTTATGAAAGAACTCGGAAAATATCAATATGAATGCGCCGACAAATTATTGTCGCCTAATCATATATACGTCCTGATTGGTCGATTGCCAGCTGCCACATCGTCACCAGACGGAGAAGCTGATGTACTTTCGGAGCAAGATTCCTTCGCGCACAAAACTTCTTGCAGTTTTGTCCCTCTACTCGACAGGTACGAGGAGTTGCTACCAAATTATAGACTGCAATTGTTTAGTGACAGCAACCATGCAAACAAATCGCCCACACCTAACAACAAGAACTCGATAAGAAAAAGATGTCGAAAATATGGACGAGCAAATGTTAAAGATTAATGACGATGATTACTGTGCCGCTGTATCCATTAAGACTTCGATAAACTGTTTATTTACATTTATCTGAAATTTGTTTACCTATAGTCAGCTTTGCGGCCTATGATAGGCCTACATTATTACCATAATTACAATACTGTATTAAGTACTGACAACATCGATCTACTAAACTACCGGTAGGCCTATATAGATCACCGTTGTACACAAAACATAATCTTAATGTCATATCATAATTTATTTAATAAAATCAATATATATTCTAAAATATTATTCTCTTGTAAATGTAAATTGGGTATGTCCAAGCTCTATCCTTTCTGGGGCGGATGCAGGAGGGGGGTGGGGTTTGCAGAGGGTGCGATCGCACCCCTTAAATTGTATTAGGAAAAATAATTGTATTATATTGTTGATATGAATTATTGGTAAGAGTTTTAAGTTACGTCAGAGTGCAATTTCCGTCCATATTCTCAACATTTTCGCACCTCAGCCCCAACCATGTTGCATTTTGGGGCTGAGGTGGTGGACTCTCACGCGCCCATGGGCGCAGATCATGCGGGAAGGGATAAACGTTTAGAGGTGGCGTCAGGATTTTCCCGACGGGGGTGTGCAGGGTCTGAGGTCCCCGACGGCGGGCCAATGTCCCCGACGAGGGGGAAAATGTCCCCGACGAGAACAAAGTGGGCATGGTCGAACGTCGCTTTAATTTTGACGCCCCTGTAATTTTGACAATTTAGGGGTTTCAAAAGCTTATTTAATCGATTTTAGAGTCTACTAATATCTACAAAATACTTACAATTTTTTTCTCCCCGACGAATTGTGGTTTCTCTCCCCGACGGGAGTGGGTGGGGCAGCTCTCCCCGACAAGGGGAAGGGCGCCCCCGCTGGCGCCACCCCTGTAAACGTCCCCTCACATATTTTTTAAGGGGGGAGGTTGGTCCCCTCACTTTTCGTGAGTCAAGAAGATATGCCTGAAAATTGTTGGCATATATGACCCAGGTTTTAACGAAAGAGCGCTGTACAGCCAGTACATGTTATTTTATAGCAAGATACCTGTATCTCTGCCCACAAACATCTGAATTACCTTTAACACTCGACTCGAGTGCGCGTGCCTTTATTTTATTTTGAGAAATATGAGAAAAAGCGCGCAAAGTTAAGATTGGGTTTCGGAACATGAAGTAATATTTTCTATGGTACATCATAGCGATTAATTAGATCGATGATGATGAATTTTACTATATAAGGGTGTCATATCCGGCAATATAGAGGTACAATTTCCCCAAATTTTGCCACTTATCAGTCAAAAACTGTGGTGGAGCTGAGAGACGTGTGGACTCACGGTTTTGAAGTAAGTAAAGTAAATACATCAAAGGCAATGTTTTAAGTTTTATTTTCTATGGTAACGTACATCACACATACTAATTAGATCTCTATGGTTGCCGGAAACAGCTGATAAAAGATTATGAGGATTTTGAATTGGCGCTTCATTTTGACTACATTATAATTAGAAATGAATTTTACTATTTCAAAGTGTCATTTCCGGTCATCTTGAGGTACTATTTCCTCAAATTTTCTCACCTCAGCCCCAACCATGGTTGGGCTGAGGTGAATGTGGCCACACGGCTCTGAGGTAGGTCGAGTATATTAAATATATCAAAGAAAGTGTTTCTTTTTATTTTCTATGGTACATCACTCGTATTAATTAGATCTCTGTTGTTGCCGAAAATCCCTGATTAAAGATCATGAGAAATTAGCTGGCGCTTCATCTAGACTAAATAATAATGGTGTGATAATGAATTTTACTGTTCCGGCCATATAAAGGTACTATTTCCTCAAGTTTTCTCACCCAATTATGGTGGGGCTGAGGTGGTTGTGGTCTCATGGCTTTGAAGTAGGTAAAGTAAATACATCAAGAGAATGTTTTAAGTTTAGTGTACATTACACATACTAATTAGATCTCTGTGGTTGCCGAAAATCGCTGGTACTTTTGACTATATAATGGTGATGTGGTGATGAATTTTACTATATAAAAGTGTCATTTTCGGCCATCTATACTATTTCCTTAAATGTTTGCACGCATCCCCTACCGCCAAATCCTGCATCCGCCCCAGCCTTTGGCCTTTAAACGAATATTTAATTAAATGCTGGCACTAAATGTGGTGTTCTCTATTTAAAATAATATGATACATTATGCCATTTTAAAGTTTTATATTTCAAGCGTTGTGGAATGGTTTACTGTATGCTGTATATATCATGCCCTGTACTCGTTCTACCAGATCTCATTACAAAAATCATAAAAACGTCAATATCTTACACTATAGCACAAGACTGACTTAAAATGGCTTGGATCAGCCCTGTGTGACGTGGTACACTTATGAATACAAGAATGCACAAACTCAAAATGAGTGTGCTATGCATATAACACTTTTTTAAAAATAAGAACCAGTAAAAGTTTACTCAGGCTCAGTGTTCATATTCTTTGGCCGATTTTCTTGTGTTACACACTTTTCATAGAAAATTATTATTGTACCAGTATACACC